GAGGTGAAAAACTCTAGTTTAAAGATAGAGATGCAAATTATTTAATAAATCCTCTATACTATACGCCAAACACTGTAAGGACTTCAGGTCCCCGCAACACCTATGAATAATATGCCATGGTCCTCGCAAAACGTGCATTATGGTATCAGACGCATTTACAGTCTTATCAGTGTTTTCAATAAGAGGCGGTTACCGGATGTTTACCGCCGCCTATTTCGCCTTTGACAGCCGGTTATTTTTTCGTTTACTGTAATTTTCTAGCGACATTAGATTGTATTATTTTATTGAAAATAGTATAAAGCAAGTAACTATAGGGATCCAAGGATGGTGTAAAGTTTCAAATTGAAAAGACACGACACGGCAAGAACTGTATAAGGTCGCCGACAACCTAGAACAGTAAGAGCAGGCATAGGCTAAAGCAGTAGTAAAGTATAGAGTAGGTACGTTAGTCAAAAATGTGGATTAGAACAACGTTTTTAGAAGATCTTGCAGGATTTGTGGTAAGATCTTGGACCATCATGGCAAGATCTTGCAGGAATTGTGGTAAGATCATGAAAGATCATGGTAGGATCTTGCAGGATCATGGCAAGATCTTGCAGGATTGGTGGTAAGATCTTGGACCATCATGGCAAGATCTTGCAGCAATTGTGGTAAGATCTTGGAGGAACATGGTAAGATCTTGCAGGAACATGGCAAGATCTTGCAGGAATTGTCATGATATTGGCAAGATCTTACAAGATGTTTGGTAAGATCTTCCAGGATCTTGGAATTCATTTAATTCGGCAGAGGTGAAAAACTCTTGTTTAAAGATAGAGATGCAAATTATTTAATAAATCCTCTATACAATACGCCAAAAACTGTAAAGACTTCAGGTCCCCGCAACGCCTATGAATTATATGCCAAGGTCCTCGCAAGGCGTGCATTATGGTATCAGACGCATTTACAGTCTTATCAGTGTTTTCAATAAGAGGCGGTTACCGGAGGTTTACCGCCGCCTATTTCGCCTTTGACAGCCGGTTATCTTTTCGTTTACTGTAATTTTCTAGCGACATTAGATTGTATTATTTTATTGAAAATAGTATAAAGCAAGTAACTATAGGGATCCAAGGATGGTGTAAAGTTTCAAATTGAAAAGACACGACACGGCAAGAACTGTATAAGGTCGCCGACAACCTAGAACAGTAAGAGCAGGCATAGGCTAAAGCAGTAATAAAGCTATAGAGTAGGTACGTTAGTCAAAAATGTGGATTAGAACAACGTTTTTAGGGGATAAACAGTTGCGGTTGTCACCTGACTTGCCTTTAATTCAGTTTCGTCCATTTTTGGTAAGATATTGAAGGATCATAGCAAGATCTCGCAAGATTTTTGGTAAGATCTTGGAGGATCATGGCAAGATCTTGCAGGATTTGTGGTAAGATCTTGGACCATCATGGCAAGATCTTGCAGGAATTGTGGTAAGATCTTGAAAGATCATGGTAGGATCTTGCAGGATCATGGCAAGATCTTGCAGGATTTGTGGTAAGATCTTGGACCATCATGGCAAGATCTTGCAGGAATTGTGGTAAGATCTTGGAGGAACATGGTAATATCTTGCAGGAACATGGCAAGATCTTGCAGGAATTGTGGCAAGATCTTGCAGGACCATGGCAAGATCTTGCAGGATTTGTAGCAAGATCATGCCGAGATCTTACATAAATCCTGCAAGTTCATGGAAAGATCTTGCATGATCTTGCAAGATCTTTCTAAGTTCTTGCAGGATCTTATGCAAGATCTTGCAGGATCTTGCAAGATCTTGTCATGATCTTGGCAAGATCTTACAAGATGTTTGGTAAGATCTTCCAGGATCTTGGCAAGATCTTGCAGGATCCTGTAAGATCTTGCAAAAGATCCTGCAAGAACTTGGAAAGATCTTGCAAGATCATGCAAGATCTTTCCATGATCTTGCAGGATTTATGTAAGATCTTGGCATGATCTTGCTAAGATCTTGGCACGATCTTGCTGGGATCTTGACAAGATTGTCAACCTGGGTATAACCTTGACCAACTGTTCTCTTATTTCCCCCTATGAATGAGCGGCATTCGTTTTCATCCGAAAATATTTCGTGCATTTATTTAAATTAGATAATGCTTACTAGCAATGCCCATTGACACGATGGCTAAATTGGTAAAGAGGGATCTAGAAACTCGAAGATGCGAGCTCAAATCCCGCTCGAGAGAATTTGTTTTTCCTTGTTCTCTGCAGTAGGAATGTTCGGTATGAGAAATTTCCGGTATCGGTATACCGAAAAAATTATACCGATATTATCGGTATACCGGTTTTCCTTTGATAATTATAAAGGAAAATTCTTTAATGGAAATTTGAAGGAAATTTTGAGTAATTCAAGAAGGGAAAACAATAATTTTGAAGCTGTTGCGAAATCTAAATCATTTCAGTAGAAAGTTCTTTGAATTGTCATTCAGTAGTAAAATAAAGGTTGTGGTTTTGCCATATAGTTAGTAAATCTAACACGGTATACCGAAAAATTCCGGTATATCGGAAATTTCGGTATATCGGTATGGTTGAATATCCGGTATCGATATACCGATATTGATTTAATACCGATATTTTCTTTATATCGGTATACCGAACAGTCCTACTCTGCAGTGTCAGATTAATATGAATTTAATATTGATATACCTTTTCAATGAAGTCTCCAAATGCAGCTAAATCATAGACTTTGCAACAAGATGTCGACACCAGACATTTAATTCGGCAGAGGTGAAAAACTCTAGTTTAAAGATAGAGATGCAAATTATTTAATAAATCCTCTATACTATATGCCAAACACTGTAAGGACACACACACACACATGCAAATAACAAAAGGCATGCACATAAAATCACATTTAGTCATACTACCGTCTACCCTATAATCGTAGTTGCCAACTTTGGAAAAAAAACATCCGTGAGAATTTAGGTGGCGCCGAGCGGAAAATTTTTGAAAATATGGAGTCTCTAGATTGTTGGAAATGCCATTTTCAGAGTCTTCTGTACATTATACACACAAATTTTGATAGCTTTTATTTAGATATACAAACCCATATTTTTGAATACCCACGAGTACGAGGTTGCATGAAGTGATATTTTGATTATCTATTTTTGGCTTAATCTCTTGAATCTTTTCAGAACAAAAAAGTTTTGTGTAATTTGAATCAAATGAAGTCACTTTTAACAGTTAAAATGTGCAACAAAGCCAACATATTCAAGAACCAGTTGGGTTATTTTCGAAATTTGTGAGATATTAACAAGCTGTGTGCTCACCGTGAAGTTTTAGTAAAATCTGTAATGCTCATGTGGATCCGTGAGAGTTGGCAACTAAGCCCTAGCATATACATTGTATCGTATTTTAGAATTCTTTACCATTCAACAGCTATTCCAATGTAAGTATTAATATAGGGGCCGATCGGGCCGGATTTTTGCGGTGGTGGAGTGTGGTGGAGTTGGTGGAGTGTGGTGGAGGGAGGTGGTGGAGTGTGGTGGAGGCATGATTTCGCGGTGGTGGAGTGCGGGGGAGGCATGATTTTTGCAATGGTGGAGTGTGGAGGTAGTGGTGGAGGCATGATTTTTGCGGTGGTGGAGTGTGGTGTGAGGTGGTGGAGTTTGAGGTGGTCGAGTTTGAGGTGGTGGATGTCCACCACCTCATTTATTAATTAATATCCATACAAATGAGGGTGATGTAATTAATATTTATACAATGAGGAGGAGTGAGGGTGAGTGTGGTGGAGTAATGACATCACGCGGGCAAGTTTAGGTAGGTAATGGCGTCACGCGGGCGGGCGAGCTTAAACAAGATCGGACAAAACTTGCTGACTACGCATTTTTTAGCGTCCCTCCTCGTGTGTGATACAATAGAGTGATTAAGATTGGCTTACTATGAATAGCTTGCGTCCCTCACATGGCAAAATTGTTATCGAATTTAATATATAGCAGAGTTATAGCCGTATCTTTGCTCGGAAGAGATACATTTCCACATGTATATTGAAGGATTTTTCGAATGTTTACAAAATTATAGCGAGGCTAGGAATTTATTCGTCACAAAAATCAAGACATATTTTAAACAGAACTAAACAGTTGCTAAGTTAACATGGTTGTCAACGTCGTTGGTATGGTCAATATTTGCATGTTGTTCAATATTATTTAGATTGCCTCCTACATACATATATACTGTTAAGATGACCGAGTCAGATCACAGGAAAGCTTATCAAGAATATCTGAAGGAAAAAAAACTTTTAGAACAGTTGTAATATTTTTTGACACTATCGTCTGTTATTTGTATCAATAAACATGTTTTAAACTTTGCAAATTTGCGTTGTTATGCGTTGCTAAGAGATTAGAAGGCGTGTAGGTAATTAAAGGGATTAAGGTAATACGAATTTGCATAACTAAGTGTATCCCGATGGATAGGGATTATTTTTGACGCAGTGTATACCTTAAAATCAGCCGCGTGGCTTTGCGGGTGCGTGCATATATTAAAGTACAACATATTTGTACAGTAATCAGGCGGGCGGGTTATACAAATCGCGCGGGCGGAAAGAGCGGTCTTTGCAGGTAAATGTTTGCACAATATTTCAGTTTTAAAATACATTTATTTCTTCAAAACGTTTTACAAAGTTATGCTTCTAATATATATCGTCACTTGTTTGAGATGTTTCGCTATCAGATTCGTCATCGTAGCTCCTTTCATCTTCTGTAATCCATTTGGTATGTCTTGAGCCTGCCATATGAGAACACAGTTTTAACCTGTTTGTAGTTGATAGATTGCTGCGTTGGCTTTGCCTTCTCTTACTTCCGCGCCCTGTTTGGTGTAGTAGGGCTTTTGCTCCTTGTTCGGCAAAGTCTTCACAACGTCACCTCCGTGGGTCTTTACAGATTCTCTAACATTTTTCCCTTGGAGTACATCCTGACCAACTTCTTGTAATGCTCTTTTGCCAACAACTTTAGCACCTTGTTTGAATAGAGGGATAGCATATCTCGCAAGGCTCTTGAAAATACCTCCAATCCCATAATCTCTTTCAAAAGTGTACCACGAAACCCAGCGATGTTTCCGCCACGTTGTCTCAAGAAATGGTCTTTCAATAGTTTTTCGTCTACAACAAGTTTACCCCTTGGCATATTGATGCGTTCAGTTCAACTTCACGCAGTCAACTGATCAAATATCACTTTGGTCGCCTATTTTATGGTTAAAAGACTGCCTTTCATCCGTTCTGATATCTATTATTTCACCTCGGCGACAATGTGGACACCTGGCGATTACATGAGTGACATTTCCTTCGGACAGTCGATACAGTGACACTTTGTACAATTGGGATAAAAATCTGTCCATGTGCATATGGGACACGTACACAAATGGGAGATGTATATATCTTTGTTACAACTGTTAGAAGTTGCGTCAGCATCAGATTGTGTATCCTGACGGGGACCACTTGTGGGCTAACACAGAAACGACATGTCCATTTATGATTAGGCTTTTATCAATTTCCAATTCTGCAAGACCTTTTATAAAAACGTTCAATCCAGTTGCTTCGGGAATATCTGGATGATAAGGCGTCAGGCAATATTTCAGAAGGTCTACAATGTCAGTTCCTCGTTTATTATGTCGTCTGTAAACATTGCAAGTCAAAATCCCCGTAGAGGTTAAAACAGAATGAAGGATTTCTTCGGCTTCGTGTTCATCATCAACGTCAAGATATTTGAGAATGTCTTCTAGTCTCCACTGTTCAGGATATGATCGTTTGTCGCTATCCATGATTGGAATGAGGAGATGCCCTTCATATTTCATACTAATTCTGCAAGGCCTTCTAAAAGTGGTCCAGGTAGCAATCCCAGAAAGCCACTTCCCCGCTGAACAAGAATTTCCCTTTTCGTTCTAAAACTTCTATTTCTGTCCGCTAAATCAACTAGATCTTGTTTGAAAAGTCTGAGATTGTCCTTTTTTTCTTTAGAGTATGTGAAATTTTCTATACAATGACACAAGCATCGAATTTACTCAGCTGATGCAGAATTAAGAAGAGTTTGCTGTTGAGTTGGATGAGAAGTACATAAGAGCTCTACAAATGGTCTGTGTTTCATATAACTGCTAGTCATCTCTGTTCGGCGGTCGGCAACGGAATGAAGATTTATTTGGGAATAACACATATAAGGGTCGGCTCGCCCTCTGTAGATTAGGTCTAGATAATAGTTTTAATAGTCTTTACTATAGTCTTCATAGTCTTTACTATAGTCTTTACTATAGTCTTTACTATAGTCGTTACTATAGTCTTCATAGTCTTTACTATAGTCTTAATAGTCTTCACCATAGTCATGACTATAGTCTTCATAGTCTTTACTATAGACTTCATAGTCTTTACTATTGTCTTCATAGTCTTTACTCTAGTCTTCATAGTCTTTACTATATTCTTCATAGTCTTTACTATAGTCTTCATAGTCTTTACTATAGTCTTTACTATAGTCTTTAGTATAGTCTTTACTATAGTCTTTACTATAGTCTTCATAGTCTTTACTATAGTCTTAATAGACTTCACCATAGTCATGACTATAGTCTTCATAGTCTTTACTATAGTCTTCATAGTCTTTACTATAGTCTTCATAGTCTTTACTATAGTCTTCATAGTCTTTATTATAGTCTTAATAGTCTTTACTATAGTCTTCATAGTCTTTACTATAGTCTTAATAGTCTTCACCATAGTCATGACTATAGTCTTCATAGTCTTTACTATAGTCTTCATAGTCTTTATTATAGTCTTAATAGTCACGACAATAGTCTTAATAATCATCACCACCGATTGAAGAAACAGGAGAGACATTTAATTAATAGTTCTTAATCTAACACTAAGGAGGCCTATGATGAATTTTGTAGATTTGGTTCAACAAGTGAACTTGATAAAATAGACGTCTTGTAATAATAATACGTTGCTAGTTA